CAGCACTGCTCATGCCCCGATTACCAGCCGGATTACCCTCGCTCAAGGTCTAACTAGTTGTTTTCTTACTATTAAACATAGGATCCCACGCAGCTCTTGTTCAATGCTCAGTGTTGGAATAATGGTGCCCATGCCTATTCGTTCAGCAACAAGTCGAAGACTTCATGTTTTCCTGCTGCGGTAATATTCTGCCTCCTTTGATTTAGTTCCTATTTTCCTGGTATGAGATTTTGGTAAGGCGTGTTCTCACGCAATCCCCATAGTGTGCCCCTCATTTATTTAGGTGTGGGGAAAAGCTTTTTTCGGGCCATGAGAAGGTCCATTTTTCACAAATGCGTGCTGATAATGGGAGTAATGAGTAAACGATCGGGTTAGGATTGTCGGACGTAGAAGGTACGATTATGGCCGAGGACTCTCATTTCACGAAAGTAGATAAGAATTTGGATTTTTTAAAGACTTCTTTCCTTTCCTTTCCCCCCACCTTTCACCCGTGTTCGTGGTCGAGCGTCCAACCGCACCACTATCATCATCCCCTCCTCCTTTCAATGCATTCTTTACCTGGGTTTTCCCTTTCCCCCTCCTCCTCGAATTTTTCCTTTCTTCTCAAATGGGCGGATCGAGACGAGAATGGGTCTATCGGACTCTCATCTAATTCCTTGTTCCCCGAAGCGAGGAGATAGGATTCCGAAGGATTCCGTTACGTTGATTTCAGGACTCTGGTCTAGTTTCACGCATTTATTCCATCACAAAGGAAGACAGGTTGAACACCGAAGTCGCAACTCTGGAGAAAGCAATGTACAAACCACAAAACCTCGTTCCTTTTGAAGAGGGATTGCCGGTGTTTCCGTGAAATGAGGAGATCCCTGGTCGTGTTATCTAACGTGTATCATGAACCAAGGAGTGGATGGGCAAATGAGAGCAGGTTCGATGACACGAGCAACCATCGCAATCGCGCGTTACCAACCCCCATCGAACATTCAGGGGTTTGGTTTTCTGCGAAGAGATGGAGATGTTGTCATGCAGGGGCAGAACTGGCAGGTGTCATTGAGCCAACTCTGAGGCCGAAAGCGTTGACCCGGAGACCCCTGAAAAATGTTCACCTGTAGGTGAGATTTTTCGCTGTTTGCTGCCCTTATAAAGACTGAAAAGAAAGAGGAAGGGGAGAAGTGTGGGTCACCTGATCCGGCCTCATTAACGAACGGAAGGGAGTCATCACTTCACAGTCGACTTGTTTAAAAGACCCCTCGTCCTCGGCCCTCGGAGGCCCTGGGCCAGGTGTCCTCTCTTCTATCTCTTTGGTCACATCCGGAGAGAAAGACATACGTGACGACTGCCGTGATCATCCTTTTTTTTTCTTCCACGGAGAAACATCTGCGTGGAATACTTGAGAACATGTCAGCGATGGTGGAATGTCCGGCTACCCAACGGTTTTGCAATCACTCCAGCGTATCCGAGAGATTTGTGATGCAATAGCTTCCCCCTCCTTTCTGTCATTCTCACTCATAACGAGTGTCATTCCATATATATGAAACCGTTATGTTTTTATTACAGACTACCGTCCCTTTAATTTTCCACCAACTGCGTCCTGGAAGTCCTAGGTGCGTGCTGAAGATCATTTTGTCTCCCAGGAGACATCAGAGAATTTGTGGCATGGAAAAGCGTTTCGCAACGTAAAACATCCGCATGGATAATCCTTCAGCTGCTCACCGTTACACACTTCCTGATCCCATTCCCAGTGTGAATTATTTTTTTTAGGGATGGCGGAGGTGAGATAAGAGATTCCGGCATTGGCTTGGATTGGATTTTGTCAAAGGTCTCATATTGGTGCAGCTACGATAAGAGAGTAATATTGGCTTGGCTTCGTCTCTGGGACTGGTTATTTATTTATACCTCCCACATGGATGGAAGGACCTTCAACGGGCAGACGAGGACGTGGTATACCCATGCAAATGATCCCCGGCAGAATGGCTGGAATGAATCACGATGAGGGCTACATCTACAGGATGTCTGCACAGGCTAGGGATGGGGGAGTCCCAAAAAGGGAAAGATAGGGGAGATATCCCATGCCCGAGGGCCGTCTAACAGGTCACTGGACACCATCCTCATTCTTGTCCTTTTCTTCCCAAGTCGTAGACAGACCGATTATTCTCTCGCGTTTTTCTCGTGATTTAATTGTTAGTACTGCCAGCATGCGCTTAAGGATATCGGATACAGAAGCCTTAGGACCGACGTAAGAGCAGACTGTAGGGAAGGTCCTTGGTGTGTGTGTGTGTTTGTGTTATATGTTATGTGTATCGCATGCTTTTTCTTGTTGCGAGTTGGGAGTCCCTGGTTCTTGTGAGGCTGACATCTATCATAGTGATGACTTGATTCCCCAAGACCTGTAGATGTCTCTGGCAAGTGTGTTTCAGTGGTGCAGCCGTTAAACCGAGCGAGAACGTCATCTGAGTTATACGCCATAGAAATCTACAGGGTGTCCATAAAGTCCAGCATCATAGGCAAAGTTGATATAGAGTGTATGTTTGTATTAGAGATGTTCAAAGCGCTGCGACCAACCTTCCTGACCACACAACAGCATCAACTCCAGTCTTTCTTCTTTCGACAGGGTCATTTCAATTCAATAACTCGCCTTTATATTGCAGAGAAACATTATCAATATGGATCTATTATGGTGGACTTGATGAACACGCTGTAGAGACCGCCTAAGCAGGTGAAGGTAGTTACGAAAACCTGGTGCATTCAGTTGCGTATGATTTCCTAGTGTAAATCGTAGCCATGATTTTTCGAAACTACTTATTTTTGTTTTTTGCAACTCTGTCCCGTTTGTGCTCGCCCGATTTCGAATACAACTCCTCAGCTAAAAATTAGTCAATAGCTGAAGGAAGCTGAACATGAAAATATCAGTTGCTGCAACTGATATTTCCTGCATCTGAGGCCAGAAAGTTTTTTTGCGTATCAGACAGCATTATTGGCTTTGAGTAGCAGTCTGCGGTGGCACATTCTACATTTCTACTTTTGCTGTTCAGCAGTTCAGTTTTCGTTTGCCAGTGAGCGAGCTATGAGATGAATGCCTCTGAATCTCATTCTCCACGACTCCATTTATGTTCCTGGCCTCTTTTTGGTTTACTTGTTTCACGGCACTAGCCTCTGTAGTCGAAGAGCATGGAACCGCATCAAAGAGGTCGACGAGCGTCTCGAACTTTTTCTTCCTCGCCGTCTCATGATCCCCCTGCCAGGCAGGGAGGAGACAAAGATAGGCCTGGGAGAGGTGGTTTTTCAACGCTTAGCACATCTGTGTCAGACTCACTAGATATGATCGATTGACTTCTCCAGTACTAACTTGCGACAAGACCCCATTTGTTTCCTTTCTGTGACCCTTGGCTAGGCCTACTGACATCAAAGGCCTCTTTTTTTCTTCCTCTGCTTTACCTTCCTTGTTCTTGATTTTATCGTCTTGCCATTTGAAGTAAATTAGCCGGGTCATATGAGAGGACTTACCCGAGTTTTTTGTTAAGGTTATCTTGAGAAAAACTAAAGTGAATGCTTTCCATAGTGTCCAGTTCCTTAGCACTAGAAATAGCACGCACGCATGGTCTCTTATCATGTCACGCTTCCTCGGATCCACGAGCCAGAACTCGGTCCCATTCCTTTGAATTGCCTGGGCCTTGGCTTGGGAATACCCCCAATGCGTGGTGCGAACTGGATATGCCAGTCGTGGGAATCTCTTCTGATTATGTTGCAGTGAGAACTGAGGAGGGGTACGAGATTGGCTTCACGCTTCACTTGGGGCTCTCACCTTGCCCATAACCATTAGGTGTCTCTTCGCAGCGGAAGTTGCTGCTCGTTTCCGCCCAAGGAAACCAAACTGAAATTATTACTTTTTCGCTGCCGTTTGCCTCCTGAGATTCTTTGTTATTCCCACCTTTACCGTCTGTAAACAATTAGCATTTCTTATTGAGTTATGATCCCTGGCACTGCTGCCTTCACTACGTTAACAAAGTTATCCAAGGACAAGCGGAAACACAATAAATAAAACTTACTATAGTCTCTTAGCCCTTCCTTAATGCTAATCGAATAGGAATATTGAGGACTGAAGAACTTCTACCCCCCCCTTAAAAAAAACCCCCCCCCCCCCCCCCCCCCCCGACAGCTGCTCTTTTCCTGTGTAATTATACCCCTTCCGCAAACACCCAGCAGGTGTCCGAGTACCTGTCTTCATAGGTCTCCGGAATCATCTTCATAGAGACGATAATAATGACAGTCTTCCACATGGTCATATGTGGGTCAGAAAGAACGTTTTCCGGGATTGGGGGAGGGGGACAGGGTATTGGGCCACTGACTAGTCTTCTAACCTCAAGACCTTTTTTTCAAGACCAAGTAATTTTCCTTGGTCTATTTGCTGAGATCATGAAGTTAAGAACGAATGAGTTCTGCAGAGCTTCAACGGTCGTCATGCTCAATCACGTATGCGATTCCACTCTTCATCCTTTCTCTTCGTGGCTAAAAAATTCCCATCTCTTCTCATCCCCGTTCGTGGACATGCATATCTTCATTTTTCAGGGTAATTTAGGCCGTTAGAAGTTCATCTGTTGCAGATACTAATTCATAATGGGAGGTGTCTGATCAGCTATCGAGAGGAAGAAGTTCTTCAGTCCTCAATATTCCTATTCGATTAGCATTAAGGAAGGGCTAAGAGACTATAGTAAGTTTTATTTATTGTGTTTCCGCTTGTCCTTGGATAACTTTGTTATCGGAGTGAAGTGATGGACAGCGCACGTGGGTTGCACATGGGGGTGGATATTGATGTGCAGAGATAGAGACAGCAGCTCCTTGCCCCACGGCCATCCACTCACTCCCGGGCTGTTTTGGCCTTTGGGAGGGTGCGTGTGTGTGTGTCTGCGTGACTTTGCCGACCCGAGTGCAGTGGCCACTTCCTCTTCTCTCTTCCGCCTCCTTCACTGGTTCCTTCTCCTTTACAGGACTGTGATAATTCCTCGAATATGAGCTTAGTGAATTGGGATGCGAGAACCGAGCGAACATGAACGGGTGCTTTCTTCCTTTCGGTGCTCTCTCTCTTCAGGAGGACATGAAGACTCGCTATCGTGCCCGACCCGGAAATGTGGACTTCCTCCAAGACTTGGATCTCTTTTACATCAAGCAATTGGCGCAGAGTTATAAGGTGGCGCGTTTAGCCATAATACTGCATGAAACAGGGGGGTGTGAGGTTTTCAAGGCCGTAAGCTAATTCACATGTTGGGCCCATTCCCCTCCAGAAATCGCTTCTTTGTCATCAACTCAATGTCCTATTGACACGGTTGGGTTCAGCAGATCCTTTATTTGGACTACCTTGTGAATTATGTTCGTAAGTGTTCCACGTTGCAGTTATGCAACGAATGGATTCATTAAAGTAAGAGAGACGAACTTGGTCAAGTATGGGGTCATCAATTTGGTCGTTGCGTATCGAACTGATGTTGGAAGACATTGCAGAACGTTTCCATTTGCTGGATTGCGTCATGATGGTAGTTGTCACCATCACAGATTAATTTTTTATTATTGAATGTTGTCCTTTCATGTGGTCATAATGGCACTTTAAAAAATATATGATCTTGTGTTTTTCGTGAATATGAACGTATTCCTCACAGGATGTGTTCTCTTGAATTTCCAGGAACATGACCTGGAGCAAAAAATCGACATAGAGATGAAGATGCGCGAGGGAACGACTAAGCTCCTGCAGGCATGCAAGCATCGTTCTCAGCTGTTGGAAGGTGCCAAATCACTCCTTACATCTAATGAGAGGATGACCGCATACATGGCCGAGTTGCAGAGGAGAAAAGGTGTTCAGAATGGAGTGAAGAAAGACAAGTGAGTTTGATGAAACACTGCCTTCCAATCTGAATTGTGAAGTACCCAATTACATTTGAGTGCAGGAGGGCTTCTGACATTTTTTTGAATCACCTCAATACCAAAGCCAAGTACTTCATCTTGCATGCATCGTGGATGCTGTCGCAGAATATGTATGTAGCTCAATATGTTGCTGAGCAACAGAATTACCACTGTAGCTGTTTTCCTGTTTTAGTTCAAAGTGCGGGTGAGAGGAAATAGCATCCATTATATGAACTATGAAATGCCCTCTGGGGGTGATACCCATCATGCCATTTTTTTCATGGAGTTGAGGCCTTGATAAGTCCCATTGAGATTTTTCAAATGGCATGCATTGGAACGAGTGGCTAAAGCTCATATGACATTCTGTAACTCTGAGTTAATTGCCAAAACACCTTGTATTCGTAGAAGACTTTGATTAAACTTCTTTGCTAACAGAGTAGACCCAATTGCACAAATTTCTCACTTCTTGCTACAGCAATCAAAGATTTGAGGACAACAGGAAAAAATTCAATTACCAGTCCTTCACATACCTAATCAGGTAAATAAGGCAACTTATCTATATTAGCAAGTATCAGAAATCCTGGTGTACCTAAGGATACTCTTGGGTGAAATGGAAATTTTGGAATTGGAAACTCAATTTGTGGAGAATTTTTAATTTGCTATTAGCATGGAATTGACTGAGGTATTATCCAAAACTGTACATTGGGCATTCTTAACCCTTTCTCTGTTCTAAAAAAAAATGTATCTGCCATACCCCCTGTGCTATAAAAATTGGAACTGCTTGCCTGAAAATAATGGTTTATATAAGAAAATGTCACATCATAATGACTATTTAAGATAGTGGTTGCATTGGATGGATAAATAGCAATGAAATATCCTTGAAACAGTGAATGGTCTGAGCCCAAAAACATACCAGGGCTACCACTACATAAGCCTGAATATGTACTTTGGCAAACATAATCATTTTCCTCAAGATTGATTTGGAGATGTGCTGAGGTTTTCTAAAATAGTGAAACTGGATGACGTAATTGAGGGAGCCCTATATGAACAGGCACTTCATCAGATCTCACAACAGCGAATGCATTGAAACTACATTACTGCTACATCACTGCATTACTTTCAGGTCTGATGGAAGTTCCTCTCTGGGGCGAGTGTGCATTTCAAATCTGCACATCCCTCTCATTTGGAAGGATTCAGACTACTTCAAAAACAAGGGAGATCACAGGCGATTTGTTGTTTTCTGCCTTGTGAAGATAGGAACTGAGATTTATGATACCTCGCTGGTGAATCCGGTTGATCGGTCCACCACAGACATCTGCTTTGATGATGTACTTGTCTTGTGAGTCTGTCATTTTTCTCTCACCTGAGGAAAGTTGTCAATATCTAGACAATATCAAGTACATGTGCAACTGAAGAAAATATTCCATGAATGCTGAAATGTGTGAGATGGGATTGTCTCAATTTTGCTACAGTAATGGAGTCCCTCCTGACTTCAAATGTGTGATAGAAGTCTACAGTCACATGGTATGTGATGACCTGAGCATTGCAAGCACACCAAGAAGGATCAAGAAGACCCTGCATACCTCAATCAGCAGGACTATTGGAAAAAAACTAGCTCTTTCCCTCAAAGATGAACTTGCTCATGGTGAAATGTGAGTCCTCAAGCTCTGTTCTCATCTTTCATATCCCAACAATTTTCAACCATAACTACTGTCTTTTGCTTTTCAGGGGACCTCATTTTGACTTGGTTGCTCAAGCCACACTGACTGTTGATGACGTCAGTGATACTGTAAGGGCCTTCGACTTGCATGCAGAGAATGTTGGTGAGTTCTAAGTTCTAAGAAAGTTTCTGCCAGATTATAGACCATTGTTTCCAACCAGTGTGCTCCAGCACAATGGTGAACCATCAACAAAGTTCAGGAGTGCAACTAAGTTTAAGCTATGCAGGAGGGTAGAACACAAGAAGAAACCTTTTTTTTTATTCACACAGCCTAAGTCTGCACACCAAAATCTCCACTCACACCCCAAGGAATTTTTTATGATTTAAAGTGTGCCTCTGGTTAAATATTGGGAATCTCTGCCATAGACACTTAGGACTCCAAAAGCATTATCCTATTTTTCAATTTTCAAAGTGTTGACACAATGAGATGGAAATTGGCATGAACCAATACAATTGCAAGATCTGAAGCTGATAATTATAGATAGGTAAAATATTGGCCAATAGTCTCAAAAGGTATGGGTTGCTGCTTTGAAATGTCAGTTGCTTGTCCTTCCTTCATTATAAGTTGCCTATCTTAGATTATGGATAATTAAAATTGGATTTTCTAATTGTACTTGTCACTGACAGAGAACCCTCCCCATCAGCTGCCTTTCTTTGGGAACTTTTGCTGCCGTCTGGCAGCTCAGCCTAATGCTTTCCAAGACCTAGGACATTCGGGACCTGTGAAAATCAGTGGCCCTGAAGCTTCAGGTATGTGCCATTAGTCAGTTTGTTCTGTTAGTGGATGAACTTTATGGTAATAGTCAATTGGGCTCTTCTTCTCCAGATGACTATTGGGGTAGATTAAGAGGTTTCCAACTAGAGTTCCTGTCACACCAAGAAGCACCTGAACCATCTCTCCTTATACCAATCACAAGAGTAAGTTACAATTTAGAAGTCTTTCATCAAGATATAATCCTAGAGTTATTGACAGTGTGGTATATCTGTTCATTGTAGGAAACAGAGCTAGACACATTGAAGACTGGGAGACGTAAAAGTATCATCATTCGAAACAGGGAGTCCCCAAAGACCACTTATTTGGAACCAGATTCAAGTGAAGCCTTCCAGACATGGATGTCTGCCCTGTCTCAGCGAATCCTTGATCATGATCAGTGAGCAGGATGCTAAAGATATCTGCTTGAAGATAATTTTTCCATTCATCTTATTGTGAACTAGTTGTAAAGTTGGCTCTTAGTTTCTCCTTTAAATGGTTTTGAAAGACAAATGTTAAAGCATTTAGGGTCATGCTCTCTTTTTTGCCAAATGGTGCAGTGTTGAAAATAACTTATTTCAGTAGTCCCAGGGGCTGTATTCACTAAACATTCTTACGAACTTTTTCTTCGTAAGAAGAGAAAAGTTCGTAAGTGGTATTCATGAAACCTCTCCTGCCACGAAATTCGTACAAAGTTCCTAAGTGGTATTCATGAAGCATTTTTGCGTAAGATGTTCGTACGATCTTCGTACACAATTCGTAAGAATGCTGCTCAATTTTGGTATTCACAAAAGCACAAAAGTTCGTATCTTTCTTCGTAAGTCTACGAATGGTCCAGAGGTATCGTAAGTGGCCACAATGACGATGACGAGGGATTTGTGGAACTCTCTTTCATTGGGTGTCTCAATTAAGCTAAGGTTCATTCACACTTGGTGGTTAACAGGATATATGCACACAGGATTCACAAGATTTTGTCTTGAAGGTTATGAGGTTATTCACATTCATCCAGTGTCAGAAAAGTAAGACGATAATGCGCCAGCAAAATTCTTTTTCCGCTCAATTATTGAAAAATCTTTCGACAGAGATCGGACAGTGGGAAAGATCTACACTTCAGGTCCATGAATTAGATTTTACTTTTTTAGCAGTTCTCTGTACAGAGGAGAGACAGCTCACTGCCTCAGTCTCTAAATCCTATGCTTGCAATTTCATTTTTCCTACAATGCTTGAGCTGAGTTTCTTCAGCAAGACATTCTTCCTTCGCTCAACTTCTTCAATGAGCATCCCAATTTTCTAACTGGTGAAATTCGGTCATCGACCACTTTCTCCTCTACTCTCCATGATACTAACGTTGATAATGCGTTCAGATCTTTTCCTTGGGTATTTCTGAAACCTTGAGGTAGTTTTTATTACGTTGAGATTAACTGGGTACCGTCTTTTAGGGTGTTTTCGAAGATTCAGCAGGATCTCCAGTCGTGTTAAAACTTCCTTTAAGAGCAAAAACAATGGCACGGAATGCGCAGAAAGTTTGCAGAAGGCTTCTATGATATGGGGACTTGTGTCATGCTGCCAGCGTGAGAACCACGTTGTTTTCTACTCAGCGATTGGTTTGGTAGCTCCCGAACTCGGTTATGATTGGCTGGCTCATTATCATCGCTACAAAGTTTCATGAATACCAACAGTGTTCGTAAGAATGAGATGAGGACTTACAAAGTTTAGTGAATACCAAAGATACGAAGTTCGTAAGAATATCGCATTCTTACGAAGTTTTCGTGAATATAGCCGCAGAAAGATAAATGGAGAATGCTGAATTCTGACCATATAGTCAAGAATCCCTCCTACCTTGTCCTAATTTCTGCATGGTGCAAGTTGACAGAAGATTGCTCTCTTCGGCTACATGTTTATTGTACTTGTTTTATGTCTGGTAATTGGGTCAGTATTGTGAATTGCACATGTGTAATTACTGCTTTGTGCCTTGAAATTGATTCTGTTATAAAACTTGTTGGTAAAAAGTTTAATCAAGCAAATGGCTTGATCGAAATTTCAGTTGTTTCTATGAGAAAATGCCCCTATGTAACATTGACTATCATAATCAGCACAACAAAGACACTGAAGTCAATAGAATGATACTTAGAGCTACAAGAAGAGCAATCAAGTTATGTCATGCGACAAACTTATAGGCATGCCTAAGTAAGCACATATTAAGTTCTTACTCAATACTTCCTGTAAACCTTTCATGTTGATTGCTAGATTTAAGTTGAGTTTGAGGTTTGAAGGAGACCCTATCTGTCAAATCATTTTGGATACTAGTCCTTTTATGATTATATCAATTGGAATTTTGTCCTACTAGAATAAGTCATGAGCTGACTTTTTTTTTTAATTTCTGTCTGATAATAGATGCATGGCTAATGCATTTTAAGCATTTTTATTCAGACAGAAGTTAGGTACATCTTTTCTGCAGTATAGAAGAGATTCCCTGTCTTGTTAGATTTATGTTGATGTTAAAATGATGTTAAAAATACTACTCCAGGAAAGATGAAGCAAAATGCCTAGCATGCCATTAGCAAGTAGTGCCAGAGTCTACAAGTCAGCATTTTGACCTTTTGTGACATATGCCCTCTTCAAAAATTGAAGGCAAGCAATGCAGTCCTGACAAATTTTACTTATGGGAAAGAGTATTCTTTGCAGATGGGGAAATGCAGCAATGGAAAAGTTGGAGATCCAGAGTCCAATGAGCAGCCGTACATCAACCTTGGGTCTGAGAGGACGACCTCGCTTTGCTTCTCTCTATGAAGAGACATCCATATCTGGTGAGTAATTCCATTTCTGATTACAATAAGCTTACTCTTGATTTGCCTAATGTGTGGCAGGGAACAGTGTGTTAGCTGTGAAACTCTTGGTTTTAGAACCACGAAGTGAAGAGAAATGTTCATCATCGGGGGAAGCTTCAGCCCGAGAGAATCCAAATCCAGCCAGACAGCATAGTGCCAGGACACGATCAATGAGTGCCAGTATGGTCATGACAGATGACATGATGAAAACTGGTTCTTCATCGACTAATCGTCCTTTCAACACCCACTGATTGCAAGCGTCTGAAATGTTTGTGTTCAAAGAAACTCTCGGTGCATAAACGAAGGTGAACCCCTGCAGTACCACTGCAGTTGAGTCTGTGGTGGACCTTGTCTTCCTTTCCATCTCCTTTCCTTTCCTTCATTGCTAGCATTGAGACTCAAGACCAAAGACATCAGGATGCCTAAGTTATTGCCTGAAATTGCAGGCTGTCCAAATATACATAACAAGAAATTACTTGTACTGTTAGTAGTTCCAGACTTGCATTTGATGTTTTTAATTTGGCAGTAATGTTGGGATAGATTTTTAAATGAATTTTGCTTCTCCCATGCAAGTTCTCACTTGCCCTTAATGAGAAATATATCAAAGTTGGCTGGGGGGAAACATAGAGTTTTGTGTGGTATTTTCTAATATCTAAAGATCATATTTGGCAAATCTATCAATTGTTAGAATTGGATCATGGATTAGGGAGAAGTTTTTATGTATTTTAAAAATAATCACATGCAGTAGTGTATACTGTTCCCATGGAAGAATATTCAGAACAAGTTTTGGCTGTGCACACTGTCTTTCAGTAGCAAGTACTGCACCTCTTAGGTAGGCCAAAATGCTACTGAATTACCTTCCATGCTTTTTCAAGCTAGTTTGCCATGTCATATATGTGCCTCTTGGTTTGGAATTCCCCTTGATTGAAGGTTATTTTCCCTGGATGTCCCTAGTTACAGTATCCAATAATTTTTTTAAACAGAATTTTCTCAAGCAATAAAATGCAGGTTTTCCATTGGGAAGGTCAATAAGTGGAATTAGTGACTATGAAGTGACTGCAATTGAAATGAATGGTGCAATTTGAAGCTATGTTGGGTCTTGGTGACATGGTTTCCTGTGATACAATTCTCCCTCTTACTTTCTCTTATGATCCATTTGTTCTTGGTTTCATTGATCCCATTTGGTACGCTTGTCTGCCACATTCAGATTCACGAGCAGAATAAATTTTTTCTGCATTCATTTTTTTTTAAAAGAACTCTATGACATTGATGTCGAAACTAGTGACCCTTTCAACATTGCTATCAACGACTTGTGGGGTCTCTGGATTCTAGCGACTGATTCTGACAAAAATTTAATGGCATATACAGGGTGGACCAAAAAAAAAAAACAAAGCTATCTTTTTTGGTAAGTTGTTAATTTGATTGTAGGCAGCCGATTTTGATTAAATTTGGTAGGTATATAGGATGGCTCAATTAGGGTTTGTGTGCTGAGTTTTAAATCAAAATCCCAAAAACTATGAGATTGGCATTTAATTTACTTTTCATCTCCAAAAAAGTAAGTGTTCATTTTTCTTTCAACTTAAGTTTCTCAGAACTGGCAAAAACAAGCAAACAGGACAAGAACAAAATGCACAAATGCCAAAAACGAAAGTGCACAATTAGGCTTAGGTAGGCCCATTTCAACTATAGGTGCTCAATGTGCCATCCATTCTGTTGAACACAGGCCTCTAGTCTGGGATGCCACAGATCAATAGCTCGGTCAATAACTCTTTCAGGCAGTGCTTCCCCAATCTTCCTCTATAGCATCATGCAGGGATGGAAGGTCATGTATTCAGTCCTCCCTTTCATCCCGGCCTCAAGTTCATATCGCTATTTTCGACAGCACATTTTGTCGGGTCATCAGAAAATAATTGCAGCTCCTATAATTTTAAAGCCAGAAGGCTGAGATTCGACCTAAAAACTCTTGTCACCCTATGTGGCTGCCAAATTTAATCGGAATCGGCGATCTATAATGAGATTGACGACTCATTAAGAATGGCAGCTTTTTTGCCCACCCTGTGTATGGGGAACTCGTAAGATATTGCCTTAGGAAAGAGGTTTTTTTACTCATGCAATTTATCCATATAAAAATTTTCCTTCACAGGATCATTTTCTGAACTGCAAATTTTCCTTAAGACTCCCCACATACATCATCTTCCCGATGAGGTAGGGAGTGTCTTTGTGTTAGGCAAGAACTTTCCTGGGGGCAACGATACGTCTACGTCATTAGCCCCTCTGTGGGCATTCCCCACACCCTGGGGTAAGGGGGCAAATCCCCTCCCCTCCAATTTCTCAAGCTCTTCCTGGCTGATCGTGCATACATTTCGATAAAAATTGAGGGGCTTCAGGCCCCCCCTCGCTTCGTCACTGGCAATTCTCCATCAATCCAAAACCATGCAAATGGGCAAGTGGCATACACGCGATTTTGCGTACGCTACAGCTGAGGTGGATCTGCTTCAGTGGTTCACCGTTCTCCCGCGAACCAAATCCACCACGGTTGTCAGATGTCATTCTTCATTTGGCCACTTCTATTGCTCTGGTGTGGCTATAATGAGTCACTTTCTTTTCAATTTCAGTATCTTGTGCTTCCGGTATAAATTGAAAATACATGGTCAATAATTTTGCGCTTCACGAAAGCGAAGAGTTGCTGAAAAGTTGTGTTGTTCAGCGTAAGGCGCATTTTTTGGCTGGAGGCCGGAAGGAAGCCTTGCTGGATGGCTTGCGGAATGGTCTCCATACGTATAGTGTCATCAATCGTTTAGGGAGTCTCAATGGCTGAGCCCAAGAATACGTCTGTCATTCAGTGCTTGGACTTTTAATTCTTACCGCCAATGGCATTTCCCTTGATGATTATATGTACATTTGGAAGACGCAACCAGGAATAGGATTACCTTACATTCGGTTTTTCACAGACATGTCCTTTTTCGCCTTCAAATTTCCGTCTGACTGGTGGGCGTCCTCTTTTTTTGGCTGTCCGAAATATGATTACCCTAACAAGGAGGATACAGTCCGTGGAACCAACCTTGCCCCAGTTAATGACTACGAATCGAAGTCACTATTGTTGTAGGCCTAACTTCGCACAGCGGTAGGCCCAAGTTGCTTTTGTGACGGGTTGTCTTGATATTTAATTCATTAGCTTGGATAGAATAAACCACGCTTGTCATTATCGAAGGTTTGATCACTGGACAAAACGAAAAAAAGATGCAGTATTTTCCATTTGATTCGGATGCTTGTGCATGGGACGTTTTTCATGCAAGAGTGTCGAAGTCAAGTGAAAAATACTGTTGCACCGTACCTGAAAGCAACTAGAAAGTAGATAGTAAAATTGTGGACAATGAACATCACACAAACTCCCACGGGAAAAAAAAATTATTTCGAGGAGTAGGCCTCACCTTGAATAATATTCAAGATAAGGCCTACTCCTCCTACAGTACTCCATTCACCGTGACTCGTGATATAAGGGTTGAGCGGATATTTCTCGAGCCGTCTCAACTCATTCTTGAAGCAGGCTGTCGGACTTATTCATATTCATTGGTCTAACTCCTTCCAGATTGCAACACTGTCGACTCAAAGAGAGTGTCAGGGTAGCGATTTTGAGTACTGCCAGATGTATTCCCACGGAAATCTTGAAGATGAAGAGGACTTGAGCCGAGGCCTGCATTGGCAAAGCCTTCGTACAGCAAAGGTAGGACCCAACGCTTGGCCTTCGGGAAGCATGCTTTTCTTGTGCCTGTGACACGTTGAAATAAGGATGGGATGATTGGATGCTGTGAAGCAACGCTATGCGTACAACCCCCCCAGAACCCCTTGTCTTTACCCCATTGCTATACGTTTACTATATTTTTCATTGCCTTCGACATTTCCCCGCTTGAGTCACACTTGTAGACTGAATTTGCTCGGAAAGGAGGCCGATCTGATTTTACTCTCATATGATTTGGCGTTCTTGGAAACAGGCCAAAATCAGTAACAGTTGAAGAGTGGAGTTGAAAGTGCAATGTATTAAATTCAGCAAATTCATTTACATACTGTGAGGGAGGTAATAAAGATACCCCTCCTCCATTATTCCCCAGGCCCTGTCCCCTCTTGTCATCATTTTTGCACTCACGTTTGAACACAAAATGTACTCCGAATCTAGCTCAGCCTAATCCATTACATCTGGTAAATTCATTTAAATCATTTTGTAGTGGTTTTTTTTATTGAGTCAAACATATTTTCAGTCGACTCGGACACCCACGCTTGAGGAACATCCCATGCACGAGTGTCAAGTTAAAGTTTTCACATGTCTAGCCCCCAAGTAAAAAAAAAAAAAAAAGCCCACCTAATTGCGGGCCGCGGGTGAAGCAGTCAGAGGAGCGCCTTTCAATGACCTGGGCGACGGACTCAAGCTCTGCTGTTGTCGAGTCGGGCTGTGGGATGCTACATATCGTTTAAACTATTAATCTGATTGTATAATGGTCCCTTATGGGAGTCGGTTTGACGGAGATAATCGTATTCCCAAAGGCGCCCATTGTGAAGTCAAATCAGTAAGTTAAACGGATCTGGTGCATATCCGTGAAAACAAAGCTTCTCGACGTAGTCGTTCCAACTTATGCGTGGTCTACCGATTTATTTGTCATCATCTGGTACTGAGACACTCTTTTTGGGAATCTATTGGGGCGCACGCTGTAGACGTGTTCGAGCCCCCAGACTGGGTTTCTTGATCCGAAAAATAATCTGCCTGATTTAAAGGCTTTTATGGATATGTCATGGATGACGGCTCTCCCTCGATCTGTTAAGGCACGTGACGCTGGTTATTCGGTGTAAGAAACTCATTTCAGTAGCTCGTATCTGCGATCTCATTCTTCCACTCATGACTAAGTTCATGACCATTGGTTAGAGTGGAGAGAGGAGCACTTGAAAAACCAAGTTTCTCCCTGAGAAATTTCCGAGTTGGGTACCATAGTCCATCAAAATTCCCTCAGATCTGCTGAAGTCTTAACCCTTACCTTGACCCAAATTCGCTTATGTTGTTAATGTGTACTAAATGATTGAGAAAAAAAAATTGAAAATAAACTGATTGACATTTCTGTTTATCCGTTTGATGTTATCAGAACCGGCAACTCGAACAAAGCCGCAAGAATTTTGAATATATTTGATATATGTATTTTCGTTGTGAGTCAAAATGACCCCCTCCCCCTTGGCCAAGGGTGTGATCAAGTTACCTTGGGCAAGTAGGGATTAGTGATGCGATTGTCCATCTCTTTTCCATATCGCTTTTCACCTGAGCCAGATCTCGAGGTACTTGAATTTCTCCATCTGTTCCAGTGCTGCCCCCTGACATGTAGGTTTAATGAGTATGAGGCATTGACTCCTCAAGGAGTCTATGCCTCATACTCATTCAACAGATGAATTAAAGACTACCTACACCCTGTGGTTGATCTCTCTAAGGCAAGAAACTTCCAAGGCCACATTTACCCCACCTCTGTGTCATACTTTCTCTGAATGAGGTAAATGTGATTGCAACCAGGTCCTGTAACAATGAAACCTGTCAGAAACATGCCAGAGGCATGTTTTCGACTGGTTTCGTCAGTGTACAGCAGAGATGTCAAGATGTCAATCATCAATGAGACAAGAACTTACATTCATCATCAATACGAAATATTGCATGATTTCTATTTAAAACTTGAAAAACAAATAGAATAACTGAAAAAAAAGTTTAAATGAAGAGTTAATAGAACAGAATGGCTCATCATGGTGCTCAACAATTTGCAACCACTTCTAGTGATGAGCCTTAAAGCTTTATCAGGGTCTGTTAGGCATCCACTGAACTCGTTCCTCCATCAGGCTCTGCAATCCATTCTTACTGGACCTTGGCAATCCAAAACATGGGGCATGACTTCTTTCATAGAACAGGATTCATTCATTCACCTCAAGCTGTTGCGTTCTTACTCTTGGCTCTCCAATGTAAAAAACAAGCTCTTCTTTTCTATGGCTCTCAGACAATCATTAATATTAACTGAGCACTAATGACTTTTGGAGAAAAAAATGAAATAATGACTGGAAATGTGCATTTAAAGCACATATGAGGAAGGTATTCTTATGTTGATATGTCTGTTCACTAGAACAGGAAAAACCACTTTTCAAAATTTAGCTGCCTCAGATAACCCAAGGGATTAGTCATTTGCACCAGCCCCTTCATTGAATGTTTTGTCCAAAGTTTTTTCATGAGAGGGCTTCAGACCACTACCATGTATTCACCGGTGATGCTGAGTAGTGAACTCACAAATATCCAAGAAAGCTAATTCATTGGGTGCTCGCTTGTTTTCTTTCAGTGTCATAATCTCTCCTTTCTTCATCAGAGATGAGAGGTTTCATTTTACATGCATCCAGTGGCGTAGCAAGGGGGGGACTGGGGAGGCTTCAGCCCCCCCAACTCTGGTCTAAATGCATCTGCCCCCCCCACAGGGCAAGGAGAAGTAAGCCCCCATTGATGAAACCCTGGCTACACCACTGCTTGCATCTAGAAAGGTGTCAGAACGTTTTCTGTCGTGAGAAGAAAAAGGAAATTTTCATTCTCATTTACAATTTTTGCACTTTAGGAAGGGGTTCATGTAAGCATGATGGAACTTGGAATCTTGAAAAAGTCTGCCAGGATCTCATTGTTTATACTATAAAGGTTATTCTGCAGTCTGACAGGTTCTGTTGTGAAATGTCTCATTTCTTTTTTAAACATGAATATTGCTGTCATTATGTTGAAGATGCCTTCAGTACCATGGCATTTCAGCTCATCAGTAAGCATGCAAAACTGGTATGGTTAGAGGAGTATATGGGTTTGATGTTCTTCTATAGCCTGTTCATGTTGGAGAATCCATACAAAAAGAGAAGGGTAGAGGCATCATTCCAGGCATTACATCACAGCAATGCCAGCATGGTCTAGCTAGAGGTCAGGGATTCAAAAATGAGAACAAGCTTCGTGATGTCTGCGTTAGTGTAAGTGTCTAGTGTCTAGTGTCTAGTGTTAGTGATGTCTGCGTAAGTGTCTGCATTATGACATGGTGAATTGAATTTTTTCATCAGAAAGAGCCAAGAGGAAAATTAGGCATCTTCATACAATGGCTACATGAAATGTTCCCCCTCTCCCTAACCCCTAACAAACAGGTCCATCCCTAGGATGTGTGAAAAATTCATTTTGATAATTTATGTTTAGACTTGGATGCTTGTTGCCCTTTGCAGATTAATGCTCTCAGTTGACAGTAAATTCTCACTTTTATCAGCAGATGGAACATTTCCTCAAGTGTTATTTTAATTTTTAGCTGTTATCAGAGAGAGTGACAAGGTCTGGTCTATTGCCTGGTGTCCTGGTGCAGGCATGCCAATGTAAAAATTTAGAATTAGCTTCTAGCTAGCTCATAGAATCAGTGTAGGTAGTGTCAGGCATGACAAATTCCAGAATTTGAAAAGAGTCAAGGCAGCCTGAAACCTATAATGGTGCAGAAGATAGGCAGCATTATAAGTTATTCAAATGTGTGTGGAAGACTTGTCAACTGGAGTATTAGAGATTACCATGCAAGACTCAAAGAGTCATTCTATATTTTTTTTAAATTACCAAATCTCAAGTAAGCATTCTAGCCCTGCTCAGGCTGAATGCACCATCTGACTCTCATGGCTCTGCCATCATAATGGTACTGATGTGCAAGTGACTTTTGTCATGAAGCTGAATTGCTTATCCTAAGTACTGTCTTATTTCCAGATGTTCGGGAATGTTCATTCATTGGACAAAGAGGAAAATGTTCTGGCACGACTGGCAGACATACATGAGACAAGGAAAGCCAAGGCACTGCTTGTCCAAGCAGAAGAGGTAACAATTATGGGTGCCAACAGTGAAGAGCTCAAGAGTGAGAGTGAAATGTCTCATTCTCCTGAAGACAGAAAGCATGATGGACTGAGTGTACTTGCCCAGAAGCCTAATGAGGACGGTCAGAGTTCTGATGGTGCCATTGCGCTGGGAATTAGGAATTTCCATGTGTATGGAATTGATGACGAAAACCATGGGAATCATTTTGGTAGTAGAGGTTGGTTGAGAAGTGCCAGTACTGCATCTTTTTTTTGTAATAGACCAACAGAGACTTCAGGTAGCACAGAGTCTTTGGATGTGATCGTTGAGGACATCAATTGTGTGTGATTTCCTAAGCAGGTATCTGAAATTCGAAAGATTGAAATAATTTTGTTCATTTCTTTTGATGTCTTTGTCTTTCCCTCTTTACAGCCCAAGAGATGACAGACCTTAGTAAGTGATACATGAGGTTTTTTTGTTGTTTTGTACTTGTACCTATAGTGCAAAATTACATACCATTTGCAAAACAATGTGGTATGTAAGCTAACTTTTGTCTCTGTCAGAGTTGTATATAAGGCATTCCTAACTGCAATTTATCTGCAGTGCAGGTGCATTGGGAGCTAAATGTCTAATAGGGAGGGGACTGTCATCAGGCAAAGTGTACAATCGCTCATCTTTAGTCCAAACTTCAGATTCTTGGAATCACCCCTCCCTTCTCCCTCTCCCTCTCTTCTCTTGCTTCCTCTTACCTGTTCTCCTTTCTCATGCCAGTCTGCTGCACCCAACTACTTAAGTCTCTGAATCAGGTTCATATTGCAAAGAATTACCTTTCCTAGAACTACCTTTAAAAGATAAACCAGGAAGTTGCTGGACTTCTGTGCATGGCTTGCCACTGGCAATGGCCTGACCATCACCAACACCTTCTTTCAGCACAAGAATATTCATAAGTTTACCTGGCACGGGGGTCTGATAGTCAGACTGGTACTGTGTGCAAACAATCACTGATCGATCACGCGATCGTTTCGGCGGACTTGTGGGGCTTTGTGATGGATGTGAGGGTGTGACGTGGGACTGATGTCTAAGCTGACCAAAGGTCAGCAAACTTCGGATACGGGTGAATCTCAGAACGAGGCAGAGAACCGCACGCATTGAAAAACGAATGAGGTGGGAACCCCTTCGCGATGAGGGAACTCGTGCCGAGTTTACAAGGGTGATCGGTGAAATGTACTCCCAACTGCCTCCCCAGACCTCAGATGTAGAGACCGAATGGGCTCTTTCGGTCTGATGTTTCGGCGGCGGCAGCAAGAGTGTGTGGGGAGAGGTGCATCGGAATGGCGCACAGTAACGCCAAGCGCACTCCCGGGTGAACATCAGCGGTACGCGAGGCAGTTACTGCCAAGGTAGCCTACAGGGTATATATGTCCAGTAGGCGAACTCTTCGAGAACATGCTACACTCAGGCGCGCCGAACTGCTGCTCATGCTATGGCCAAAGCGAAAGAGGCGGCGTGGAAGAAATTCGGCGATCAAATGGAATCTGACTACCGCACTGCCATCAGTGTTCTGGCAAATCATCCAAAGGTTACGGCAGGGCAGGCAGCATACTCTCCGGGTCCGATGGTTAGACGATGGCTAAACACCCCTCATGGTACATATATCACGTTCAGACTCCTCGGTTGTCGCGTAATACACTACGGACTCCACAAAAACGAGCGAATCAAGTGAAAAAGGAGAACCTTTCCTCAGACTATTAAGTACATCTCGCCGAGCTTGTAAAGGAGAATCTCACGATAGAGAGAGACAGAATGCACTTTTCTCTCACAACAAATAATCATGCCTGGAAACTGGCGAGTTCTCCTCTGACCTTACTCTGTATTTCGATATATCAGAGGTAAAGCCAAGGATTCGTTTTGGACACACGGAGAAGTAAACTCCTCGGTTGTCGCGTAATACACTACGGACTCCACAAAAAACGAGCGAATCAAGTGAAAAAGGAGAATCTTTCCTCAGACTATTAAGTACATCTCGCAGAGCTTGTAAAGGAGAATCTCACGATAGAGAGACAGAATGCACTTTCCTTGCACAATAAATAATAATGCCCGGAAAGTGGTGAGTCCTCCTCTGACTTTACTCTGTATTTCGATATATCAGAGGTAAAGCCAAGGATTCGTTTTGGACACACGGAGAAGTGGGAAATGTGAAAAATAGGAGTATCATTTGTGTACGATTGCAAAATGAGGGTATTCGAGAATTGCGTGTGGATCCTGGTCACGTGATGACAAATTCAGCAATAATCCCTTCCGCATCACGCACTGCTTGGACATCGATGAAATACGTGGGTCACTCTGAAACTTTTTAGAATCAGGCTAGGAGATTACACGATCTTTTGCTTTAGGCTATGATGCTATTGTACAACTCTTTATTGCTCTATATACCAAGTGTCATTCTACTCCGAGTCGTATTAACAAAGTTATAGCTTCTTTGATTTTCCTTAGTTGTAGTATTTTACCACGTTGCAATGGAGCTCACTCGAGAGCACTGGCGGGCTGATTTTCTATGATTTCAAAAAAGGCTTCAGCCAAGCAGATTGCTACCAGTCCTTGAGAGGAGCTTTTGGAGACACTGCACCTTCAAGCGCCATAGTGCATAATTGGTTTGCCCATTTCCGCCAAGGACGACACTCGCTCGAAGACGAACCTCGCGTGGGCCGTCTCACCACTGCTGTTGCTCCTGACATTAAGCGTGTGCGTAACCTGATTGAGAACGATCGTCGATTCACTTATGAGGAGATTCAGGCTGCCTTGGGTATCGGATCGGCTGCACTCCACGAGATCCTGCACCAACGTCTTGGCTTGCAGAAGCTTGTTTCTCGTTGGGTGCCCCACTGCTTGACCACAGAACAAAAACAGGCACGCAAGGAGTGGTGTTCTTATATGTTGGAAAAATTTGCAGAGGGAGAGTCTCGCTTGGTATCTGACCTCCTGACAGGTGACGAGACCTGGATATACAACTATGACCCAGAAACCAAGCTGCAGTCAGCCATGTGGACATTTTCTAATGAGCCTCCACCACAGAAGTTTCGGCGGACTCGAAGCGTCAACAAGAAGATGGTGGCCACTTTTTTCCGAAGATCTGGTCATGTGATGACGGTGATATTACAGGGTGCGTAAGAAGTTCTGTTACAAACGTTTCTTTGCCAAAAACAACCAAAGCAACAAGAACATGCTTCACCAGTACACTGCAGCGTTATACTCATCGAGATGGTACACGAACGCTGGCATAAATATCGGCAAAACATGCCCCATCCCTTGTCTGGAAACGACACCTTTTTCAGTTTCTGTTAGACATCGGTTAAAGGAAGATAGCGTTCATGCAATCCATTTTTGGCCTTGGAGTGCTACTCACAGCTCCAGGGAGAGTTGCATCTGCAGAAAGAAGCTTCTCCTAACCGAAACAGTTTATAACTTAAGATCATTCATGTCCCAAGAACGCCTGACAGGACTAGCCATACTCTCTATCGAGAGGGAGGTCAGCAGGACATTGAATTACAAGAAAGTGATCAATAAGCTGGTGGCAAAGGTTCCTAGAATACGAACGCTAAATCTTTCGACAACCTACACAGATTACTCTCCTTTCCTTGCTTAATGAAAATGTAGGGATTTTCATTTTTTCCCCTAATGTAACTTCGATAATCGGAAATGAAGTAAAGGGGAAAATCTCCAAAACCCAGAGGTAGCCCCGCATTTTCCCGCGCCGGGCCTGTCCCCACCCTCACCTATGGTCATGACCGAATGAACCAGATCGCGAATACAAGCTGCCGAAATGAGGTTATTGCGTCGAGTGGCTGGCGAACGCGCCGTGATCGGATGTGGAACTCTGCCATCCGCGAGAGCCTCCACGTCGAGCAGCTGCCTCCCAGGATCGAGATGTCCCAGGTCAGGTGATTTGGACATGTCTGCCGCATGCCCCCTGAGAGACTCCCGAGAGGAGTCTTCCAGGCCAAGATGACCGGTAAAAGACCTGTCGGTAGACCTCGTACAAGGCGAAGTGATTGCGTCGCTCGGCCATGTAACAAGGTACTCGGCATTCCACCAGCTGAGCTTGAACCTGTTGCCCATGATCGAGATCATTGGAGGACGCTCTTTGGTATGCTCGAACCGCGGCCCCATTAAGTTGGGAAAAGCGGTATCGAAAATGTATGTATGGGATTCGTTCGTCTCAACACGAAAGGATGAATTCGGTAGGCGTGCCCAGGAATAATACCTCGATTAAAGCTGCTAGGAGGACTCAAATTATGGATCTCGCGAAAAAAGATGCATCATGGAAGAGAATCAATCTCATCATTGTGCATGGCCGCATGCTTCATATTGTTATTGAGTGCTCAGGCTCACCGACCAGAAGACATAGTCAAGGCAAAAGTGTACCCACAAACAGGGCCGGATTAAGAAGTTGCGAGGTCCGGGGCTTTTTTTTTTTTAACTTAACGTTTTTAATTTCCTTCGGGGGCCCTCTGGAAGAATGGGGCCCTGGGCAACTGCCCCCTTTGCCCCCCTCCCCCGTAATCCGGCCCTCAGGGCCGTTTCTAGGGGCGGGCGAGGCGGGCGATCGCCCGGGGCGCCAGTGAAGGGGGGCGCCAGCGGAGGGGGACGCCGGCGGAGGGGGGGCGCTTGCGGAGGGGGGGGGCGCCGTGGAAAGAAACACCATAATAAAACAGGCATTTTTTTATGTGATTGGCGTCCACTTTGTGCAAACTAGCATTAATCAGGATGATATAAAAATTAAAATTATTAATGATATTTTATTTTATGCCGTGCAGCCTCCTACCAGCGTACTGGTGAGTCTGATAACACTTTCATAATAGGGCAGAAGCCCTTCCGCCCCCTCCCAACCTTCCCCTAGTATATGCGGCATGATGC